CCAAACAGCATGTGTGATGAAAATAGTCTATCACAAGCATGTTTTGGGTGATTCTAAGTGTGTGAACGTTGTGGGTACTGCATCTGAGTGATTCTGTGGGATTTGTACAAAATAATAAATAAGTAATAATAACACTACTGGGGTAAGAATCGTGGGTTCATAGCAGAGTGCGTGAAAAGAGGAAGTCTGAGAGAAGAGAGTGTGTGTGTGTATCTGGCAGGAAGTGAACAATTTTGCATGTCCATAAAAGGAACTGGCTGATGTGTGTGAAAATGATATTAAATAAGTGTTTTAGTGTGTTAATACAGGTTCCCATGGACTTACTCAACCTCAAAACATGAGTACAGCGGCAAAATGATAGATTAACAGAATTGGGACGACAAACAGGCCAGCCTTCGGCTTAAAATTTTTACAGCTTGACCTCTCATTCTGTCCTCATCTGGAGAAGAAGCTTAAAGGACAGTCAATCTCCTGATGAAGACAGAAGACAGACAGAACGCCGTGGACTTGAAGCATTAACAGCAGGCAAAAGACAGTGCAACTGACCTATAACACTGAAGACTCCAGCAGCAGCATGTAAGAAAACATTTGATGGAAGATGAACTCTGAATTACATGCTGGGAAGAACAGTGGGATAAATAATTGCGTGAAAGCACTGGACAGCACTGGAAACTGAGTTTCATATTTGCCATGCTGGGAGTAAACCTGAAATAAAGAAAAGACTGAAAAGATCAAGAGAGAAGCAATGGAGAGAAGAAACGCCTGATTTGGGCTTGTGTTGACCTGCGAGGCCACACAGGAAACTGTGAGAAGAGGGACAAGGACCAGTGAGAGGTCATGTCCGGACGAGTTCGAGTGAGAGCGTATGGGGAAATGGATTGAAAATTGAGTCCAGAGCATCATAACAGAAAGGTAAAAAAAAAAAAAAAGGGAGAGAGTAAGAAATACATAAGCTACTAATTACATGAATGAATAGAAAACACACATACACAAATTGTTACATGTGAAATTATTTTTGGAGAGAATCAGAAGTGAGATAGTTTGAATCCAGAGCTCAGTGCAAAGATGCACAAATTAAACCTCCATCCATCCATTCGCTTCCGCTTATCCTTTTCAGGGTCGCGGGGGGCGCTGGAGCCTATCCCAGCTGTCATAGGGCGAGAGGCAGGGTACACCCTGGACAGGTCGCCAGTCTGTCGCAGGGCTAACACACAGGGACAGACAACCATTCACTCACATTCACACCTAGTGGCAATTTGGATTATCCAATTAACCTATCCCCACAAGCTGCATGTCTTTGGACGGTGGGAGGAAGCCGGAGTACCCGGAGAGAACCCACGCAAACACGGGGAGAACATGCAAACTCCACACAGAAAGACCCCGGCCTGATGGTGGAATTGAACTCAGGACCTTCTTGCTGTGCGGCAACAGTGCTAACCACCGTGCCACCGTGCTGCCCAAATTAACTGATTATAAAATTAAAAATTAAGATTGAGTGTAAGCTGATCTTCATTGCCTGATGTGTTTTTTATAAATGTATAGCCACGGTATTTAGGCCTTCTGTAGTGGATACATGAATTAAACCTGATTATAAAAACACATCAGGCAACGAAGACCAGCTTACACTCAATATTAATATGAATACACAACATACACGCAACAAAGACACGCTTACACTCATGAATGTGAATACATGACATAAATTGGTGTTTCTGCCCGGAGAGAGAGATGCGTGTTGTTTAAGCAGTGATGATAACAATGAAATGTCTTAGTTTTGTCACTTTTAGGTGCAAAGCAGACCTGGATCAATTTTCCACATGCAGCAGTCGGAAGAAAGTTATAGGTTAACATCACTGGAAACATTCAGGCCAAGTTTCTGGTTGAATTGTTTACAGCGCCATGTGTCACTAAACCTGACAAGCGAGCTCTCACTCCTGGCTGAAGACAAGGAATGCAGTTCCAAAGAGCAATAACATGGCAGTTAAAGAGAGACAGTGGAGAATGCAGGACAAAGCGGAAAGAGAACTGCCTGGCTTTGGACTGTTGAAGTGGGAGAGGACCACGGAGTGAGAGGAGTACGTGATAACACAGTGGAATGCTGTTATTTAATGTGGGAAATCAAAATGTGGGTTAGCAAACCTGGAAAAATGAAAACTTACTGCTTAAGTGGGAAAATTGTGAAGGAGTCTGAAACACTGCAAAAAGAAACATATACAAAATCACACACACGAACAGAAAATGTATTAACCTTACTAACACTTCCAAAAACAAGAGAGCCCATGAAGATTAGACAGCATCTTGAGCATGTGAGTCTGTTTATCATCTTGTCCAAGTCGCTTAGTGTGAAGAAAAATTGATACAAAGACCATCGGACTAATAGCAAAGTAGTTAAAAAATGATCCGATCATAGCAGAGAAATGTGTAGGAAAGGCAGCTTTGAGAACATGCCCTGGTGGATCTGCAGCTCCACTGCACAGACATCGATTTAACCTGACTAATAACACACACACATGCAATGAAAATCAGCTTACTATCTTTCATCAGTGTTAAAATAGTGTGAATTTAACACACTTAAACCCTGAACTTGAGGAATAACTCAGGGAAGTTCCATGACAATAGTGATTTTTGTGAAAAGGAAAAAGTGATTAAAGCTTAAAGTAGTTTGTAGAATAGTGCATTAGAAGTGTTCTTGTACAGATTGATCAAAACAAGTGATTACTGAAAGAAAATAAAAATAATTCAATAATGTGGTAATGTTTAAATATGCATTTCTCTTGTCACGGCAACTTCTTGAGATATGACTCAGTATGCAAATTAGTTGAATGACTGGGGACAGGAAAAGAAAAGAAGAACTTGGGTTTCCTGTCTGACTGTATGAGTGAAGCTTGCACTGAAAGAGACACTGTGACTGGGTGAGAACAAAGGCTTGGTAACATACAGGATAATTAAATAAAGTGGTCAGTGCAGTAGTCTAAGTGCAGGAGTCCAGATTTGGAAAAGAAATTTATAATTTAGTGATGATAGATTGTTATAACGTCTTTAGAGAGGGCTTAATGAGAATATCAATGGTGTGCAAAACTGTGTGGCTTTTAACAAGATTTTCTGTGTATTTAGCAGGTGAAATTATGTCAGTTGACCTCAGACTGTCAGTCGCTGAAGAACCTGAGGCAAAACTTTTCTGTGATTACGATTTTTAGGTTTGTTGTTTTAGTGATGGGTTGATTTTGACAGTTAGGTTTGGGTTGTTTTCTTATTTTAATAGAGGGAGTTTTATTGATCCTGGACGTGGGTAGAACTGGGCCCTTTAAAATTGTAACAGTGCACTTAAGAGAAAACCTGTCAGGTGATTATGTTTTGTGCTTTGATGAGCTACTAATCAGCTCTCTTTTTCTCATTTTTGTGCTAAGCAGGCCTGCAGGAGTGAATTAACAGCGCTGTAAAAACTTTTCGGGAGAACAAACATAAGGTGAGCTTTTCCAAATTACAATGGGCTGAGGAAAAGGCTACCTGTGGGGACCTGATCAGGTTGTAAGTCCCCGTCTAAAAGGATTGCAGCGAGTCAATCCAGTCCAAGAGCATAAAGAACTCTTCCTAAAAAACAAAACAAAATAAAACAAATGAATGAGCTCATGTTGCTGAGGGTGGAGAATGGGATTATTTGCGCGGGAGTCTCCACTATTAGCAATATCTGGTGTGAATGCGTGTGAGCGAATGTGTGTGACTGTGATGGACTGACGATGTGGACTAAAGGTTGGACTGACTGGACACTGAGATAAAGACTGGCCCAAGATAGGATGAATAAATGCTGACAAACAATTCACCACGCGGGCAAGAGAAGGGGATGCTTTGCTTTGCTTTGCTTTGCTTTGCTTTGCTTTTGCCATGAGCAGGAGGAGCGGAAGACTTAATTCTGGGGCTGCTAATTTTGGGTTGTTGATGTTTGCTTGAAGAAAATTCTGTTTTGTTGACTGGGTTTAGATTATGGTATCACATTATATTGTTGGGAGAATGTCAAATGCTAAAGGGGAGGAAATCTTTGATATTACTCAGGTTACCATTAACCAAAGCAGGCCAGTAGAAGACAATTAAATTTTATAGAGGAAAATAGTCAGAACAAAGCAAAATTTACAAGTTACATAGGGGAATGGTAGACTTCTTACATTAAAACAAAAACAAAAACAGTTATGGAATAACAAACACTGGTCCAAGAGACTGAGGTTTTCTTCCTTTAAAACAGTAAATTATTAAAAGAGCACGATCGGTAAGGGTATGTGATACTAGCTGGTACTGGAGGAACATGAAATTGAAATGTGAAATTTTGTATGAAGAACATGACTGATAACTGCTCTGTCTTAAGTTTAGCTTCTTATGGCACAGATTGGATCATAAGTGGGGAAAACTGAGTTTCAAAGGTAAAGTTCATGTTAATACACAGGTTTTGTTTCTAGGCAGTTCCGAGGATGCAGGCTCTGGGTGGAGCCAGGAGTTAAAAAGGTTTAACATGATAATTAAACTGATTTTATTACTTAACACAGGTTTGCAAGTGGACTTGCAACGCGATATCATAGCGTGGCTCAAGCACGTTCATCATAGTTTAAACACCTTGTTTTGCAAAATGGAATATGACCTCCCATCTGCAGCTAAACACCCCAATAGCTTTAGTAATAGCTTTAGCCCGGTCGGACTGGGCAGCAAAGGGCTGCTTAAATGCCGAAAACTCCTCTGCTCCTCCACCTGGACCGCTAGCACTGACTATAACTACCGCTTGACAGACTGACCACGCGCACCATACACATAAGTTTTTTTCTTATCTTCGGATCACGTGCGTGCCGAACCGTGGAGTGGGATCGGTTCGGATTTCGGATCAACCGTGATCCGTTGCACCTCTAATATCTGAGGTGCTTCTGCGACACGAGACACTGAGACACGACTTCATCAAACCTCTTTAGCAGTTTTTAAAGGCTCTGACTTTTTAAATAAAGGCTGAAATATCTCCATCATTGAATCCTGTTATTGCACAAAACAAACATGTATAACTTAAGACATCTAGCAGTAACATATGGTTAACTTATGCTATGCAGGTAGTGCTGCTTCTCTGTGAGGATGCGTCTGTGTGCGTTTGGTCTTCTTACATTTGAGGAAATAGTGACACAAACATTTGAAAAATTATGGTTTTAAGTGAGCAGAAAGGATGTTATGTGTAGTTTTATACATTTGTACGCAGAGAAAGTTTAATGAAAGAGAAAATTATCAGATTCGTGAAGATAAACTTAATAAATTGTGTGTAACTGATCAGTGTTTATTTGGGTTTGGATGTATACATTTGTAAAAGAAGTTTTGCATGTGCTCAAATTGCTTTGCATTTATGTGTGGATTTAAACATGTTTGAGAATCCTCTAAAGTTAAACACACATCACTGCAGTCATTTGTCTTAGTTTACACTCATACTTATTTGTAACACTGTTGAGACAAATTTTGCTATAAAAAAATTCCAGGTTTAGTGTTTCTAAGGTCTTTGTGCTCTCCGACATCTCGTGTAAAGATTTGAGGAAATGATTAGTTGCACAAATCATGAGAAAATCTGTTTGGTTTCTTGACATGATGGTGCAGCTTTAGAGCTGAACAACATTTGAGAAGTCAAAACAAACAGAAAATGTGACAGCAAAAATTTCCCTTCACGTTTGAAAAACAACCCAAACAAAGCTGCTCAACATGACTGAAATATCAAAGGAACACATGAAGTCAGATCTGTGTGAGAGGCAGAAACTCACATGCGTAAGAAAACATCTGAATGTTTCCTGGCTGATAATCACATTAAAAGTCTCTGCTTAGCCACCGGCTCTCACCTGCTGACAGAGGCAGAACAAAACCTGAAAAACCAGAACTTCAGGATCAGAATTCGAAAAGTGAAACTGAAAGAGCTTTAAAATCTGTTTCTTTTAAACAAGAATCAAACTGAGCTCATCCAGCCGTTCTCAACAGCACAGTAGAGATTCTGTCCAACACTGGTGAGTACAGACGATCACACTGTTTTAAAATTCAGATGTTCAGTCTCATCTCTTTATGACTTAGAATACTTCTGCATCAACACAGGATTACGGACTAGGAGTAAAAACAAACAAATATAAAGACAGTAAGTGAAAGTAAATTTTTGTTTCACAGCAGTTTCACTGCGGAAAATCTGTTTCTCCTCAAAGGAACCTTAAACTGAGCTCATCCAGCCTTTCTGAGCAGCACAGCAGAGCTTCTGTCCAACACTGGTGAGTACAGACGATCACGATCACACTGTTTTAAATTTAAACTCTCTCTGTGTCAGGAAAAATAACTGTAACACTGCTGCAGCTGGTGTGTTTCACATTTTCAAACGGATGACATAGGAGCTGATTTAATAGCAGCACTGATCAGATTACATTTGTTGTACAGAGAAAAAGAAGTTTACATTTAAAACCTTTCATCTCTAATGTCAGGGTCTGAAGAGCTCACTGCTTTGTGCCTGACACACCTGCAGGGAGAGGCGGAGATTCAACTGAGTCTATCAGGTTTTCCTCAACAACACAACAAACAGCAGTGAGTGCAGCTGATCACGTTCATGTTTCAATGCTCTGTTCATGTCATGCTGACTCTTTTTGTTAGAGCCATCGTCTCCAAGCTTCTTCTTGTACATCGTCACCACAGCCATTTCCATCCTTTTGGCAAAATGCTCCACCATCTGTCCTTCCTCGTTTCTCTCATTAACACCATACCTGCCCAACACCTGATAACCTCTGCCTCCTTCACCTACATGTCAATTAAAGTCTGCTCTAAACACCACTCTCCTCCCCACTGAGGACACTCTCTGCCACTTTATCCAAGTTACTCCAGAATGTCTCTAACTGACATCGAACCTGCAGGGCACTCACGCTGACAACATTCAACATCACCCATTTGATTTCTTGTTTCAAACTAATGATCCTGTCTAACACAGATGGCTGGTATTGTCCTCATGTGGATCTAAGAGTAAAAAAACCCTGTGAAACTGAGTGTTGGTCGTGTTTAACATGACCATCCACCACCGGAAGAGGAGACATGAGACAGAAGGAAGTAAAAGCAGAACAAGTCCACTTTAAATATGAGTAAAACTGAATTGTGCATAAAATAATTTCATTTTCTTTCTTTCAGACATGTCTGCTGCCTGCTGTCTTCTATCTGAAGATCGGTTTCTGTGCTCCATCTGTCTGGATCTCTTCACTGATCCAGTCTCCACACCATGTGGACACAACTTCTGCAAAAACTGCATCAGTCAACACTGGGATATCAGTGACAGGTGTCAGTGTCCTGTGTGTAAAACGGTGTTTGAGATCAGACATGAGCTGGGGGAAATCTCTGAGCTGATGAAGAGAAGCTCTGAGGTGGAGCAGCTCTCACTCTCTAAAGATCACCTCCACCTCATTCAAAGCTTCTCATGCCTACAAGTTGCTCCAACCAGCAATGACTGGACAGAGGTCAGTATCCATCCACTATCATATGAGCTGTTTGAGGCTGAGCTGAAGAGGGTCCAGCAGTATGCAGTGGATATGACTCTTGATCCTGATACAGCACATCAGAAACTCATCCTGTCTGATGATGGAAAACAAGTACACTGTGGTGATAGAAGGAAGCAACATCCAGACAACCCAGAGACATTTTTTAAAGGTGTTTGTGTTTTAGCAAAGCAGAGTCTCTCTTCAGGCAGATTATACTTTGAAATTCAGGTTAAAGAAAAGACCAAATGGTTTTTAGGGGTGGTCAGAGAGTCAATCAACAGGAAGGAAGACCCCAATCCGAGTCCTGCGAATGGTTACTGGACAGTAATTTTAGGTAAAAATAGTTTTATAGCTCTTGACAACCTTCCAGTCCATCTTCCTCTTCACCGTCCTGAGAAGGTGGGAGTGTTTGTGGATTATGAGGAGGGTCTGGTCTCCTTTTATGACGTAGATCTCGCAGCTCTTATCTACTCCTTTACTGGCTGCTCCTTTACCGAGAAACTCTACCCATTCTTCTGTCCCGGTAATAATGATGATGGTAACAACTCTGCGCCGCTGATCATCTGTCCTGTCAATCAGCCAGTCTGATCTTTTTACATGAGGAAATTGGATCAATTATAGGTTAAGCTCATTATTTTAACTAACACAAAGAAGAAGTCCTATAAACAGAACTTGGCAAACTGCACCTTCTGAAGATTATGAGATTCACTCAGAAGCTGCAGAAGTTCAACGTTAGTTGATTTCTATTTATTTTTTAATCTGTTTACAAGTTGAAGAAAATGATCCATTTGAGGAAATCCAGTGTGAGTAAATAGACACTCTCCTTTTCTTTTCTTTTTTTTCAATGTTTAAAGGCACACGTATGAGTACAAATGTTAACATTGTATTATTTTAATTGACCTGGTGTTATATCAATATCAAAGTCAAGATGGAGACACTGTTCCTCTGTTCTACTACAACACACTTGTTCATAATCACATAAATATAAATCTGAACTTTTATCGTCTCCTTTGATGATCATCAGCTGCTGAACTTTAGTCATCTTACCTCTGAAGTAACAGGACTATGAGCTGCTGTTTTGAATCAATAATATTATTTTAACTATCATACACGTCATAAATGCATTTGTACCATCATTTTTATGTTTAGTTTCAAGACTGCGATACTTGATCAGCACACAATGACACCCATGGCCCACTCGTCCTTTTTCCTTCTCAACCCTGTCCTTCGTTCATGATGCAAATGTAAAGTTGTGGTATTGGTACTTAAACATTTAGCTAGCTAAGTCTTAAATCATTACTCTTTCTCTCTGGTGTTCAGCCTAAATGTAAATGTTGATGCAGCAGTTGGAGTAAAAATCCAGCAGAGGGCGCTCTGAGCCAGGGCAGCACTGTCACTGCTGCTGTGCATTATTTAAACCATTAAACTCATGCGTGTATTTGATTAATGATTATTCAGGTCATCAGAGCCGTTGCTGTGTTTCACTCTGAATAAGATGATGCCGTCTAAATTAAAAGCATAATAAATTTTAGAATGCAGAGGGAAGCCCGACCTGCTCTCTATTTTCAGACATTAGTTTTGTTTCAGTGGAGAATAATGAAATAGTTGCTGTAGTTCTTTTCTGCTGTTGCTGTTAGCGCTCTCATTTCTCACTGAGGCCCTGACTGTTAAATACACTGAATGAAACAGCACCTCAGTAAATACTGTGTGTATAATAAGTGGTGAAACGCAGTGCTGTCTGAGAGTCGATGCTGAGTTTGTCTCAAAGCTGTTTCAGCTCATTTTAAATGCTGTCATCGATGTTCTGACACCCCGAAAGATGAAAACCAAACCAATAACTCTGTTAATCTCTTATTGTGTAAAACTTAATTAATAAAATATTTCCACATGATCTAATTCAGTTTCTCTTGTTTAATACTAACAATTATATTGGTGTTTTGTGGGGGGAAAAGAAAAATTAAAAGAAGAAATTCATGGTCTTTGGTTAGATTAAAAGTCTTTGACAGTCAAAATTATCATACACTTACAAGAGACAGTTTGTAGTAGATGTATCTATCTGATAGATACATCAGAGAGAAGAACCAGAGAATCTTCCTCGTCTTCCTCACTTTTCTCATGGTCAAGTTTGATTTGGCTCCACCATTATAATGCCCCAAACCGAGAGCTCTCTGCACAGTACACTACCATTTCATGTTTTCGTTACAGAGCACAGTGGTGTTTTTGTGTAGCTCATCTGTGTAGCCAATTAAAACAAACAAACAAACATAGATAACATTTTATTTCATAGTGTAATCTTCAAGGCTTTTTCTGTAGCACAGTCTCCTTTGATTCATCTGCTAATTATATTCACAATATTCATTCATTTTGTCTATAGGATTCACTAGCAGTATGGCTTCTTCACCTGTCCCTCTTGTACTTTCCTGCTCAGTGTGTCAGATGCTTTGCTACTCCTTGACTTCCTTTAGTAATAACAATACTTGTGATAAATATAACCTGTTTGCAGCTCTGCAGGCCAGGATCACTGATTTGGAGTCCTGGCTTCACAGCCTTGAAATACCTGTAGCTCACCAGGCTCCTGTAGTTGGTGCAGTTGAAGGTAGCATAGCAACCATTAGATCTGCCACAGCAGGGTGACAGTGAGGAGGAAACATGGTCTAAACAGAAACCACCGGAACACCACCATCCCGTCTATTGCTCTACACTGCTACACACCCACAAACAGCCAAAATAGGCTACACTGAGGGCAACCTAACACTACTGGCTAAGGGTAAACACAACTTCCATAAAATTACAATTCACATCAGCAGTAATGACACCTGGTTACAACAATCACTAAAAATTAATATTGAATCCTGTGTAATTTTGCCAAAACAATGTCGGACTTGGTTGGTTTTCCTGGTCCCCTTCCCAGAGTGACATGCTTGGCCGCATGGTCTCCTTAAATTGCTGGCTGTCTGAGTGGTGTCCAGAAAACAATGTGGGCTTTATAGATAATTGGCAAACTTTCTGGAGGAAACGTGGTCTTGTTAGGAGAGACAGTATCCGTCCCACTCTGGGTGCAGCAGCTCTCTAAAACAGTAAAATGGGATTATCAAACATTAGGTCTCCCTCTTCTAAGTGTCTGTTAGTACATGAATTAATAAGTAATTAACAAAGCGATTTACTCTGCCTGACAGAAACCTGGGTACAGCAGGATAATTATGTTAGCTTAAATGAATCAATACCCCTGAGTCATACTAATTCTCAGAATCCTCAAAGTGCAGGCCGAGGAGGGGGTGTGGCAGCAATCTTCCACTCTAAGATATTAATCAACCACGAGACCCAGACAGAGTTTAAATTTATTTGAAAGCCTGACACCCAACCTTGACCACTCTATCTGGAAAACTCAAAAGTCTGATTTCTTCTTTGGAACCAGCTTCCAGTTTGAAATCAGGAGACAGACACCATCTCTACTTTTAAGATTAGGCTCAAAACCTTCCTTTTTGATAAAGCATATAGTTAGGGCTGGATCAGGTGACCCTGAATCCTCCCTTAATTACGCTGTAATAGTCTATGCTGCTGGGGGATTCCCATGATGTGTGAAATGTTTCTTCTTCAGTCACCTTTTTCACTCAGTATGTGTTTATACACCTCTGCATTTAATGATTAGTTATTATAAAGCTGTGGCTCTCTTCCTCAGCTTGTCTTTGTCCAAGTCTTCCTCCCCTCACCCCCAACTGGTCACGGCACATGACCGCGCCTCCCTGAGCCTGGTTCTGCTGGAGGTTTCTTCCTGTTAAAAGGGAGTTTTTCCTTCCTCCTGTCGCCAAAACACTTGCTCACATCGGGGTCATATGATTGTTGGGGTTTTCTCTGTTTTCTTTGACTTATTGTAGGATCTTTATGTTGTGATTTGGCAGTGTACATTTGAAACTGAATTGAAAAGTAATATTTTCTAGTGTTTGTTTGTTTTTCTAAGTTGGAAAAAGGGACACAGTTCAAATCACATTTTTTAGAGATGTAGAGGAAACTGATTAGTGTAACATTCCTGATGCACACCAATACAGCCCATAACACAAAGATAAAAACACATTACACAATATAGCCTGTTCCTGTACAATTACAGTGTATTTACAATATAAGAGGGAGAATTTCTGTTTGTTGTTGTTGTTGTTTCCACTAAAACCTGAAATTAATTAATAAATTATTTAAACACTACTTAAAAATTACTCAGTCCCTACATAAAATGACTAATGGTATCATTTCTGTTTGCTTTCCTCTAAAATACTCAGAAGTTACGTACTACTTAAAATTGCTTATTCACTCCTTCTAATGGACAGAACACAGAGAGTCAGGATTATACAGTATAAGTAATTATTAGCCCCTATTTTCAGTGTATAAACCACTAAGTTTTTCTAGGTACAAACAAGTACATTGTAGTATCAAGTAAAATACATGGAAATTCCACTTGATTCTAGGGAAATTAAACCCTCATTGAGCGTATTATAAAGTGTTACCTTACCCACCACCTGTCAGAGGTGGAGCAACACCTGAAAGACGAGGGCTTCAGTGCCAGAGGCGAGACCTGAAACTTAAAGCGAGAGCTGCTGCCCAGCAAATCTGTTTCTCCTCAAAGGAACCTTAAACTGAGCTCATCCAGCCTTTCTGAGCAGCACAGCAGAGCTTCTGTCCAGCACTGGTGAGTACAGATATCATGATCACGCTGTTTAAAACTTAAACTCTCTCTGTGTCAGGAACAATAACTGTAACACTGCTGCAGCTGGTGTGTTTCACATTTTTTCTAAATGATGAAATAAGACTTGCTTTAAAAGCAGCACTGATCAGATTACATTTGTTGGACAGAGAAAAGACTAATTTCAGGGTCTGATAAGCTCCCCACTTTGTGCCTGACACACCTGCAGGGAGAGGCAGAGATTCAACTGAGTCTATCAGATTTTCCTCAACAACACAGCAGAGTCTCTACAAACAGCAGTGAGTATAGCTGATCACATTCAACACTCTATTCATTTCATGCTGACTTGTCACAGTCACACTGGTTCCAATAGAAACGTGATCATTCATCTACGGATCGACTGTGCAAACATTTAGCTCTGTCACTTCTTTGGACTTTGGAAGTGAATTGCATTTGGACTTCAGTCTGCCTGCTTTATTACTGCTTACTCATCACTTCCTGTACTCATTGTTTCTATTTGCTTTAGCTGTTTTGCAATAAAAGCAAAGCAGCGGATTCATTTTATTGTGAAGAAGTGAGAGGAAGTACAGTGTGTACAGTAGCTCTGCATGACTCACAGTTTAAAATGATCCTTTATTTGATCTGGGCTTAAATTTGTAATGTCATATTTTTGAGATGTGGAAACAGCATCACACCACATGCCAAACCCTAACGATGATCAGATTATAGTTCCCAAACACTAACCTGACCCTAACCTTAAAGTCCCCCCAAAAAAGGCTTTTTATTTAACCCCGAAACAAATGTGGTTAAATCGAGGGCGTAGATTTGGTTTTGGCATTGGTGGGGACGGATGATTCAACCACCGAACCCTGCCCTGTTTCTTTTTTTTCCTTTTTGTCTTTGCTTCTTGATAAAAAAGGAGAAATATACTTCCCTGCATATGCTATTCTACATGCTTTTCAACCATTTAAACTTAAAATTCATAGTTTTGTTAAATTAGTTAAATTACTATTAAACAAATGACTGACTAAGTATTTTAGACTTTTGTTTACTTCAGCCATATTCCATATAAATCAGGTATCATACAAA